TATACACAAATACATCATACTTCATACATATGCACGTAATATATGTATGAAGAGAGAAAAACACGTGCTTTCATTGACAGGGGCCTTGGTAAAGGAAACGTAATAAATAAATAAAAAAGAACGGGAAAAAACGAAAAGGACATGAAAAACCAAAAGAAACGGCTAAGGAAAAGTTGAAACGTCTTATGTTTGTTTACACTTGATACTTTGAGCCCATCCAGCCACGCAGTGGCACCACAAGAAATGCTGGAAGAATAATCCACACGGGGTCGCCCCCCGCCCGAAACCACCGTGGCACAAACACACACAAACTAACACACTACAGAAACACAACATAAATCCGTGCAGAGAACACACAGAACTCGCCGACACACGAAGACTCATAATCCATAACGGCGCGCCGATAGATTTGAAACTGGCACGGGTAGAGTAGGAAGGAATGAGGCTCCTACTCTTCTTGACACGCCACTCTTGTTGTGGTCTGCGTCAACATAACACGCGCACGCACACACAGAGATATTACACACGGGGTGTGTGTGTGTGTGGAGTTCCGCGGTAGATCTAGAGAGGAGTGGGTGTGCACCTACCCGAAACTGGAAGACATGGTTAGTTCCTCTGTGTACTCGCCATGTCAACTTGAAGAAGGAGTTCTAAGATATTGTGTGTGTGTGTAGAACGCGGCTGGCTGGCTGGCTGACACAGCACACACACACACACACATGTACACACACACACACACACTTGACTGCTGGTGCTGGGGCCCTGACGAGTGAGTGAAGGATAAGTAACACGGGTGCCACTCGTCTGTCTGTATGTTCGCTGGCGCGTCCCTCGTGATCATGCGGGAAATAGGCGTGCAACTGTCGGCTTGTTGTGAGGGAAAAAACTAGCGCCAGTGACTTGTGGCCGGCGCTCTTCCTACGGCCAAGGAGAGAGGGTTGCGTAACAGTGGTCAGAGCTGGATGGTTGGGTGATAGGCGACCGTCTCAGCGCTGGTGGCGAGTAGGTAGCTAGCGGTGTACAAACAAATCCACTAGCTGTCAGGGCGAGGAGCGAACTGTCAGCTCGTTGCATCCCAGCGCTCGCCTCGACTGCCCGTCAACACGAGCACACTCGAACAACAGGGCCTGTCGCGACTCGTGGATGCTGATACTAAATCTGTCAATCAAACGAGCCGTCCGCGAGGGCCCGGATAATAAATGAGCTGTCAGAGCGCGCCAGCGCAGGGCGAGTTGACTCTCGTGTCAGCAGGGGGGACGTAAGCCCCGCCCAGTTCGCGCGCTTCACGTCACAAATGAGCGAGTGTGGAGCGCCCGGCGCGGAATCGAACGGCCAGGGAGGACTGGAGGGGGCTGGAGGAACCGAGGGCCGGGAGACGCGCGCTGTGGCCAGGGTGACTTCTGCTTCTCTCTCACTGGCGCGAAATCAGAGCACGGCTTGCTGGGCGCTCGCGCCCTTCAAAACTACTCTTTTATTTGCTGAAATGACGTGAAAAATCAACCCTCCTTTAATTCTTTCACTTAGTAAACAAAAACAGAATCGCCGCCTTGTTGAAGGATTTGGTTTACACGCCGCAGCTCAAAGTGAACAGAACCAAGCCCAACCCCTTCAATATAGACTTGCCGGCTTGGCTTTCACTTTCGGGCAAAGAAACTGCTTATGGCATGACGTCTTTTTGTTGTTTCTTTTAAAACTTGCATTCTGGTATGAAGTTAATTTTTTTTTTAAAGTAAAATTTCAAAAGACAAAATAAGAAAAAAAATCCTTCCTCTTCATAAATCACGGTTAAACGTCTTTTATTTAACATTTTATCTGTTTTTAGTTTGTCTAAAGGGTGTGAGGGGTGAGGGACCGAGAGAGTAGGG